GTAATTTGTGTGAAAGACTTGGGAGTAGTCTGCTTTTGTAAGATTAAGACCATTGTACCACTCACCCTGAGACTATTCAAATGAAACCAAACATGACTGTAAATCTTATTTGCATTCATATAGAACATTATACAATTGACCATTCTGAGTGAATCCCGTGGAGGGAGGAGATGAAAAGGCACTGATGCATAGGCGTTTCCTGCACCACCCCTCTGTGGGGTGTCTTGAAGATGCCAGTGTATTGTCTGTTTCTCAGGAGATCAAAGTATCTGAGTTTCTTTTATCCTTACAGTTCTAATAAACTTTAATTGCAGAAAAATATTCATTCAATTATTAAGAGCCTGCAATATAATGGAATATTAATATTGTTAAATGCATTTTAAAAATATAATTTGTTTTCGTCTGTTATTTATTAATAAATAATTTATTCCAATTGCCCTAACCCCAGAAAAACATTTATGGGGGACTGTGTGGGCCAGATGGGCTGAATTTTAGCACCAGTCCAGCCCTGATGGTTCTCCTCTTCTAGGGCCAGAAAGAAGACCTTCTAATAATAAAACTATTTAAACTAAACTCCTTAAGGGAAACCGGTTTGCTATAGCCCCAGGGCCCTATGTGTTCGCTATAGCCCCAGGGCCCTATGTGTTCTTAATCCGGGTCTGCCCACTGATCATCACAGACTGAGCCCCATACAGCGTTATGATACATCTCCAGCCTCCCAGAGGACGTTCCACCAATTCATAGACAAACATTTCTATGAATGAACATGCATATCCCCAGGAAATTGTGTGCATTATTACTTCCAGTTTGAATTTCCAGTTTCTTAATTTCTTAATGGGCTATAACACATCTTTATAACTTCAACAGGACTCTTGATAACCTAATACACTTGATACAAAACTGCCAGCCCACTCTGATCATGCAAATGAGTCAGCTTTCAAATAAAGAATCTTCTTCCCTCAATTAATTACACCTTTTCATTGGTCAAGTCAAACTCAGAAGGTGTGACCTTGTCAGAAGTTAACAGGCCTCACATCAATGACCCTGCTGTTCTTGGACCTTTTTTGGGTCACTGTTTGTGTGGAGAAGACTGAATACATCCAGTCTGACCATGACGTTGTGGGACCTCCCCAGTGCTGGCAGGACCTGAAAGTTGCAACAAGCCATGTTGCCACTTTCCACCTTGGAGAGAACCTGCCTGACCACAACTGAGTCAGAATAACATCCCTGAAGTTCGTCAATCTTCAACCTGGAAGAAACTTGCAACTCCAACACCACAGAACTACTGAACCATCAAGACTTTCATCTGAGACTGCATCCAGATGCTCATTCAACGGCCAAGGCAATGCAAGTATCATGCATTTGATCAAACTAAACAGAGGTTTAGTATAAGCTGTAGACCCCCTTTGTTAAAAAATAGCTTGTGGTTATAGTCAGGTGGTTAATTGATTCCTTTTCCATAGCTTTATTCCCTGATTTCTGTAACAGATTAATTCATTCACTTTTATTTCCCCTTTTTACCATGTTGTGTTTAGACTAGTTATCTGTTATTGTTTTAGTTAATAAAACATTTGTGCACAATTTCATGAATTTGGTTTCTTTGGATTAATTAGGAGTTAGGAAGGAAGGAATTAGATTAGAGTTTGGACACTACTTGCAAACAAAGACCCTTTAACGAGTCATTCTTGTTACATGCTATAATGCATTAGTACTGTAAGAAAGTTATTTTCTGTGGCCACATTTCTTAAGAGTTGATAATTATAATTAATTGTAATTATTTATATATATTTTCCTTTAGAGCCAATTTGCTAAGGGGTCTTGAGTTAAACCTCAAGAGAACAGCTTCAACATTTTCAGTTGTCACTATGTACAATATATAAAGAGAATGTGACTGCTGATGAACAGGACTCCTCCTCTACTTTACATAGACACGTCCCTGATGAAAGTTACAAAAGTTAAAGCTCTGACAAAGTTACCCAGCTGTCAAAGATACAGCATGCAGCATCAAAGTCTGATACCTACAGAGAAGAGATACAAGCACTGATAAACAATGACAACAACCCTAGCTTGAGGAGCATTTGGGTGTTTTAATGAGCCAAGAAAGTGAGACGTGTTACATTCCCCTCTTCTCTCTAGGGGTTACGTAGCAGAAGTAACAAAGTTAAAAGATGTGATTAAATAAATAAATTATGATGGAAATCTCCTTTTCCTCTATTCCAGCTCTTGTCACTTTCACCACTGATATTTCTAATAAAGGTTCACACAAAACCCTCTAATTAACACCATAAAACAAATGAATACCCAAATACCAGAAATATACTTAAGTATTTTTATTAAGGGCTTAAAAGAAACCCAAAAGAATATATATAGAAAATACACAAATATCAGGGCAATTAATCAACTTAAATAACCAAAGCGTCAGGAGAGAGCAAATGCCAAAATAACAAACAAAACAGTCTTTCTAAAGGTTATAACAAAATTACTTCCCTGACAAAAGAAAACTAAATTAAAGGCAATAATCTTACCTCGCTCCCTGATTAGAGAAAAACAGGTGAAAAATTTAGAAAGGGATAAACCCCCCAAAATTGGCGCCCATCTCCCTACACGGTTTGACAGAACTACACTCGCACAAAATCTAAACAAAAACTCTAAATAAATGAATATATATGTGTGCGTGTTACTGTTTGATCACAGCTTTCCCTGTCAAACAAATAAAAAACTAAATATCAGGTCGGGTCAGGAAATGTTGAGACTCTGATCGGCACATCGGTCACAGACAGAGAACCGCAGCGGCAGAAGTGAAGCCCTCCCTCCCTTTTCCAGTTGTGTTTGTCTTGCTGTGGAGGTGAGTGGTAATGAACAAGACTAATGGCGCTTTTCCACTGCGTGATACGACTCGGCTCGGCACGGCTCGGTTCGTTTCCACTGCAGTTCAGTACCGCTTTAGAATGGGCGGGATTATTCAAATGTTGTTATAGTTGCGCCGCCTCTATTGCCGCGACTCCTGAAAAACGTTATCATTCCGCGTCGCCCCATCAAGCTCTCGCTGGATCCGCTCCTCTGCTATCAACGAGAGGAACGTCTGTACTTCCTCAACAGACAACGAAACTTTTTGGTTGTTAAAAAAGGTGCGCTTGTTCAAAACAGTGGCGTTCGACCCTTCGCTGGCTGTGCTGATTTAAATCTAGCAGTTCTGTTATGTTTGTGTCGCAACTTCAGTGACGCAGGTAGTGACGATTCTCTCCGGCCAATCTGTGATCAACAGAGTTCACACGTCACGTTTTGGTAATGGTACGGTTCACTTGGAACCTCAACCGAGGTGGTACTAAAAAAAGTACCAGGTACTGTACCCAGTGGAAAACCCCCCAAAAGTGAACCGTACCGAGCCGTACCATGCAGTGGAAAAGCGCCATAAGCTACCTGTGCCTCAAATTTACAGCTAATTATTAATGACAAAAGGCAAATATAGTTTGTCTTGCTAACATCCATGACTCATGAGAGCTGCCATGTAAGTTAGCTAAAGTTTAGTAGGTTAGACCAGTGCACGTTCATTCACTGCATGATTCAGTTTATTAAAATGCATTTAGAATGCTCACAAAATTCAAGATATTGGGGCAGAAATGTATATTTATATCATTCCATATAATTAATCAGTATCACGCGAAGACAGACGTTTTTTCCAACAAAAAGCAGCATGATTATAAATGTGATATTGATTTTATACAGAAGTTCAATAAACAAGAATTTAATATTAAGACACTTACGTTTTTGACACAATATTGACTGCTTTTGCTCTATTTCGCCAACAAATATAATTCCAATTTGCATCTCTGAGCAACATGACAGTGTTTCGTTCCTGAAAGAATCAACCGTTTAAATGATTCGGTTCAGTCGCAATGACTCACTTATTAACAGGGACTTGCTGCCACCTACTGGCAGTTTTAGTTTAACAGTTAAAGTATTTTCTTTTTCTTTCTTTTTTTAAAAATAATTTCAAATATCAGTATTGAACATTTTATGTTTAAAATATCAAAACAGTATTAATGCATTTGTAACTGCAGGTTAAATACATTCATGTCCTGCATTAAACAGTGTGTAAATGCATCTAAATGCCACTTCTAATGCAGCTTCTGTGTTTTCTCTGCATTGCAAAGATTAATTTTGTCAATACTACTTGGTAACAGCCAAAATGACTTATTATTCTAATTGACTGATTCAATTTAAGAATTCGACTGAAAAGATGAAAAAAATGGCTTTAAAAAAGGTAAAAATGTCCATAAAAGGTAAAAAATCTATTTAAACTTATTGGAAAAGATTAATTTCTATCATTGCTGTGAACTGATCACCACACAGAATATGCAGAATATCAAAAACTTTAGGAGTCAGCTGTCCACAGTAGTCCTTGTGACATCAGCACAATAACACACGCAGCAAAATATCGTCTTATTATCGTTATCGATAAAATCCCCGAAAATATTGAGATATTTATTTTTGTCAATATCGCACACCCCTAATACATTTAATGTTTTATTTAGAAAAAAATTTAAATAAATATGAGAAGTGCCCTTTTCCCACTTGAGCCCCTGCCCCTCAAAATGTCTGTGCACGTCCCTGCCTCCTGAGCTGTGTCTCTCTGCTGCTTTATATTTGTTACACGCTGTGTAACAGGGAAACCACGCTGCCGAAAAAAATGCATACAGCTGCGGACGATTTGGAGCACTGCTTGAAAGAGAGTGAGCGAGAGAGAGAGAGAGAGAGAGAGAGAGAGAGAGAAAGAGGGAGTTGAGAAAACCCATGTGACCATATCCCAACATACACAACAATTACGTCATGGGACGTAACACATGGCAAAGGACAATGTGGGAACCACAAAACACATTATTTCACAGAATTATATTGAACTTTTGTGTGTGTGTGTGTGTGTGTGTGTGTGTACAAAAATTGTAGACCATTTAAAAGCTACAGTAGGCCTATAAAAGGTTTTGAGCCAGCAGGTGTTTGAGTTACACAGTTACTCCATGTTTCCCTGGATCCTCCTCCACATCATCATAGTCTATTATAAGAAAACAAAAGCAAATTAATGTACCAACACATGCTTTAAAAATTATAAGAATGAACACATGAATATTTGCAGTCAAATTAAATGAGCTACCATGACCACCTAAATTAAAAATATAGAACTATTATAAAGACTAAATGAAAATTATTCAGTGAAAGGAAAAGGAAAAAAAAGTTTCAATAGCATACCAATCATGTCACTCATATATTCTCTGACATTCTTCACATCATCATACTCCTCCTGAACACCCTCTGATATAAATGCATCTATTATTAATTACATGAACAAATAGTCTACAAACTTTATATTCCAATACAATCAGAAGATAAACGAGACAGAGAGAGAGAGAGAGAGTAAAAAAAAAAAAAAAAAAACTATTCCTGTAAGGAAGTAATTTGAAACCCACACCTGCTTTATCATTGGAGATCTGTTGTACAATGATGACATCATCATAGTTTCCTGGTAAGCCATCTACAACAAAAAATAAAATGCATCTATTGATGTGCAATTTTTTTTAATTGTCCATGTGTATAATTAAAATGCATATACTGTAAACAGTGTTAAAACCTGTACAAGTAAATTTAAGAACTAAACCTGTAGCATGATGTCTCAGTCCAGCAGTGATTACATCATCATTATTCTCGGGTATGAATTGTTGCTTTTCTAAATGTGTTAAAAGCAATGATAGAATAAACAGAAACTAATTTTATTATTCACAGGTCCAGTATGTTATTTAATTAAAGGGATTGTTCACCCAGAAATACAATTTCTTTCTTCTACTGAATTTCTATACTATGGAAGTCAATGGGACCAAAAACTGTTTGGTTACCAACATTCTGCAAAATATCTTCCATTGTGTCCAGCAGAAGAAAGAAAATTATACAGGTTTGAAACAACTTGAGGGTGTAAATCAGGGGCGTAGCCATCATTTCAGAAGTGAGGGGGACAGAAATGTTATATATATACAAAAAAATACATAATATATATATATATATATATATATATAACATTACAATATAACATTTCTGTAATCTATATAACCTACCAGTCAAGTTTTTGAACAGTAAGATTTTTAATGTTTTATAAAGAAGTCTCTTCTGCACACCAAGCCTGCATTTATTTGATCCAAATTACAACAAAAGCAGTAATGTTGTGAAATATTTTTACTATTTAAAATAACTGCTTTCTATTTGAACATATTTTAAAATGATTGCTGTGATCAAAGCTGAACTTTCAGCATCATTACTCCAGTCTTCAGTGTCACAGGATCTTCAGAAATCATTCTAATATGCTGATTTGCTGCTCAAGAAACCTGAAATCTTTTTAAATTATTATTATTATTCATGTTTTTTGAGCAGCAAATCAGAATATCAGAATTATTTCTGAAGGATAGTGTGACTGGAGTAATGATGTTAAAAATCTAGCTTTGAAATCACTATAAATTACATTTAAAAATATATTCATATAGAAAACAGTTATTTGAAATAGCCTAGTAAAAATATTTCAAAATTTTACTGTTTTGCTGTACTTTGGATCAAATAAATGCAGGCTTAGTGAACAGAAGAGAGTTCTTTAAAAAACATGAACAATCTTACTGTTCAAAAACTTTTGACTGGTAGTGTATAGTCAACTTAAATTTTTCTCTCATTTCTAGCTTTTAATTGGCTTAGAAATCAGATAACTGCTGGACAATGACCAATAATAATGATTTGTTTACATACTACAAACACTTTTTTTATCACATAATAAGGCAGAATAGTTTATATACTGTATTATGCTATGTCAGTTAGCACGGCATTGTTCATATACTTTATCTATTACCTGGAGATGACTTGACAAACACAAATAAACCATATATTGTCACAATCGTATGTTAATGTCTTCATGTTTCCAAACGTTTCTGTTTTCTGTGAAAACAACTGTTTTCATACAGCTGGAGGCTTTTGTCCATATTAGGAATTTCCTCATAGGACTTTCTGTGCGAGAGCGCCCTCCGGCTTCGAGTATGAATGAAACATACACTGCATGGAGTGTTTAGCGCTCCGCAATGTTCATCTCGCAGGTTCGAATAAAACATCAGATCATGCACAGACTATCCTCCCTCTTTGAATTTAAATCTATATTTATTCACACCGGCGCTTGAAAACCTCCATGCGAACACACTTGCCCGAAAAAGTGCGGAGGACGAATTTACGTAATATTAAAAGTGGGGGGGACACGTCCCCCGCGTAATCTACGCCCTTGGTGTAAATTATGTCATTTTCATTTTGGGGTGAACTATCACTTTAAGTGAAATCATGTGATCAGTTAAAAACACTGATCTATCTGGCCTTTAGTGGTGGTGACATCATTACAGTAGTCAGGTGAGTCTTCTACAGCAGATTTTGCTTTAAAAATATGTATGTGTATACAATTTAAAAACGTGGAAAGTGAATGTTTAAATTAATTTGACATACTGTTCATCTGCATCTGTATGCACATAGCTGATAACATTGCTATACTTGAGCTCTCTAACCTGAAAGAAGCTTATCAGCATCTTCATACCCAGAATGCTGTTCTGTAGAAAGAAGAATTCCAGTTATAGAGAATTAGAACCATCAGACATGTTCACAATCACAAATCAGCCCAAAACCCCCACTTTCTTTTGGATCATTCAACGCTAACCCATAAAGGTCCCATAAATTAATCAATGTGATCTTACTCCAAAAACACCCATTAACAATAAATTTGCATATGTAAACAAGCATGTAAACAAGGCTTTGCATACTTTGTACACTTGTATTCCAATATCCACGTAAAACATTATCCTTCACATGTGCAAAAATGTTTGTTTGGTTGCTGCAAGCTAATTTTACAGTGGACCTTTTAAACTGAGCAATGTTACTTGTATGTTTGGCTGACTTCATTTTTGTTTTATGAAGAATGTCTGAAATATCAAGTTAGCAATGCTAACTGATATGTTGTATGTGTGCGTGAGGCACCTGTGCGATTAGTTTGATTTAAAGTGCCCATATTATGGATTATGAAAGGTTCATATTTTGGTTTTGGGAGTCCCCAACAACAAGTTGACATGCATGCAAGGTCAAAAACACTTTCATTGTCTTATAATATGCATTTATTTTTACCTTATTTTGCTCAAATATTCATTTTTCCAAACCCCTCCTTTACATGACGCTAATCTACGGTAATAGGTAGTTTGCAATCACGTGATTCTGATGACGCGCGCAATGCAGCTGGAGGGCAGGAAGTGATTTTTCTCCATAGAAATCACTGGCAGAAACTCAAAATGGCAGTGTTTTGCGTTGTTTATGGATGCTCAAATCGGACAACCCGAGAAACCACAAGAAGCTTTTATCGTGTACGAAAATGTGTTGCTCATAAGGGGGGGAAATTCAAGAATTTTACTGAAAAACGCTGGAAAAAGTGGCTTGTAAACCTGCGTCTGCGGTCGGGAGGAGCGAAGCCGGATAATGCTCGTGTGTGCAAATGGTTAATAAGATAATAATATATGAATAAAGAAATATATAAATAGATACAGGGTGATACGGTCAGAATTCACTGAATGCTAAACGCCACACATAGACACGATGTAAATAAGATATTGTTTGCAGTTCACGGAATCGTGAGATTGCGATAAATTGAAGTGAGTGACAGCTTTTTAGTGATTAACCTCAGATGAAAGCACTATTTGCTCGCTTTCCAGGCTATAATCGATTCAGAATTTAAATAAAAGTTGTTTTACTGCTGCTAACAGGATCAACAGCCACATGCCCTGTACATGCAGCACAGTTTCAGGAGTGACATATATCCCGCATCCCTCACATATAAATACGGGATTCACTTCACGAAATAGCTTGTTTACAATCAGGGTTAGTTGCTTAGCCTATATCCATCGCCTTAATGGCAGGCAAGTATTTCAATTTAGTTTAAAAATCGCTCCTCTTTATAACATAAGGATCACGTTCAACATGTTGTGATTATCAATACATTTCTCTTGTAATAGCGTGGTGGTTGAAGAGAGATCCCCTCATATGATTGTAAGGCGCGTTGGGTGTGCAGCAATTCAATGAAAGCGCTATATATATATATATATATTAGTGTTTCCCCTGCCATTATTTTAGGGGGGCGGCCTAAGTCATTTAAAGTTACCTTTCTTATAGAACATGTCTATACCTTGCTATTTCATTAAGCAAACTAATAGCCTTATGTTATTTATCTTTATCGTTATGGTCGCGCTCTCTGTATCACGCACAGCGGAGTTCCGCCCGATGCGCGCGCTCACACACACACAAGCCCACTCCCACTAGTATTTGTAAATATTAAGCCGCAAAACGATTCATATTTAAATATGAATTCTGCGTGTCTCTGTGTTAATGAATGGCGCAGACGCGCGGTTTTGTGTAGTACTCATACTGAAACGCTCGTGACGCTTGCGGTGATATTAACCTCTGCCGTCTCACTAATGAGGACATAAACACATGAATAACATCTCCAGAATTGCTCTGAGAGTCACTCCAAAGCCGTAAATCTAGGGGAAACACTGTATGTGTGTATATATATATATATATATATATATATATAAATAAATGCATCATGCCTAAATCAGTAGCCTACATTACCGACTTGCCTGTATCTCACCCGTTCTTTTTCAGTCACTCCTGAAACTTTGCTGCATGTACAGGGTATGTAGCTGTTGGTCCTGTTAGCAGCAGTAAAACTAAATTTTATTTAAATTCTGAATTGATTCTGAATTGAGCGCTTCCATATAATCACTAAAAAGCTGTCACTCACTTCAATTGATCACAATCTCACGTTGTTCCGTATAATCAGTGAAGCTCTCTGAACTGCAAATAAGATCTTATCTACGTGTCTATGTGTGGCGTTTAGCACTGAGTGAATTCTGACTGTCACAATGCGTGAGAGGTGGCAGCCCAATCTATTTATATCTTTATAAATATCTTAATATATTATTATATCCTATAATAACCATTTGCACGCACGAGCATTATCACACGAGCTTCGCTCCTCCCGACCGCAGACACAGGTTTACAAGCCACTTTTTCCAGCGTTTTTCAATCAATTTCTTGACTTTCCCCCACTTATGAACAACACATTTTCGTACACGATAAAGGCTTCTTGTGGTTTCTCGGTTTGGCCAGTTTAAGCATCCATAAACAACGCAAAACACTGGCATTGTGAGTTTCTGCTAGTGATTTCTATGGAGAAAAATCACTTCCTGCCCTCCAGCTGCATTGCGCGCATCGTCAGTGACGTCAGGTGCAAACTACCAATTGGTCTGATGACCCAGTCTGTAATGATTGGTCTACTGCGTGCAGCGCAAGTCGGAAACGGAATGCCCATCATCATTACTGGATTACGGCTTATCAAGTGTTGAAGATTTTATACAGTGTATGAACAGACAATATGGCTTCAGTTTTACCTTATCAATTCAAGCCCGAGTACGACGAGGAAGCGTCCAGAGTTGCTGACGAACCAGAAAGTAAATTGTAAACATGACTTACTTGATGAATTTATTTAGGTGCACGTGTGGGAACTGTATCAAAATGCCAAGCCAGGCTGAAAATCTTTGCTGCAACGAAGTATGACAGGTAGTGTATATTGTTTCTGCAATAGTT